TAAATAAATAAATAAATAAAATAAAAAAGAATTAACACTGGCCCTCCTCAAACGCTTCTAAAAAGGGAGAAAAGGGGGTAAATCATTCTATGAGGTCAGTATTATCCTGCTACGAAAGCCAGACAAAGACAGAAAGCCAGACAAGAAAACTACAGACTAATATCCCCGATGAACATTATTGCAAAAAATTTTAAACAAAATACCGGGAAACTTAATTGAAGAGGATAATCCATTAATAGGACTATGTACCATGACCAAGTGGGATCTATCCCTGTAACACAGGAATGGCTCAACATATGAAAATCGGTCAATGTAATATACCACATTCACAGAGTAAAGAACAAAAACCACATGATTATCTCAGTTGATGTAGAAAAAGCATACAACAAGGTTCAGCACCCTTTCATGATAAAAACGCTTAACAAACTAGGAAGACAAGGAAACTACCTCAACATAATAAAAGCCATATGTGAAAAGCCCACAGTGAATATCATACTCACTGGTGAAAGACTGAAAGCTTTTCCTGTAAGATCAAGAACAAGACAAGGATGCCGGCTATCACCAGGTGTATTCAGAGTAGTACTGGAAGTCCTTGCCATAGCAATTAGGCAAGAAAAGGAAATAAGAGGCATCCGAATTGGAAAGGAAGGAGTAAATTATCTCTGTTCACAGGCAACATAATCTTATATGTAGAAAATCCTCAATATTCCACAAAAAAAACTATTGAACTAATACATGGACTCAGCAAAGTTGCAGGATAGATATAAAATTAACACACAAAAATCAGTTGTATTCCTGTACACTAATGAGGAACAACCTGGAAAGGAAATTAGGAAATGAATCAATCTACAATAGCATAAAAAAAATAAAACACTTAGGAATACCCAACCAACAAGGTTAAAAACTTGCATGCTGAAAATGACAAAATATTGCTAAAAGAAACTAAAGACACAAATAAATGGAAAGACACCCTGTGTTCATGGATCAGATCACTTGATATTGTTAAGATGTTGATACTATCCAACACAATCTATAGATTCAATGCAATCCCTATCAAAATCCCAATGGCATTACTTGCAGATATAGAATAATCCATCCTAAAATTCATATGGAATCTCAAGGGACCTGAAAATAGCCAAATCAACTTGAAAGAACAAAGTTGGAAGTCTCACACTTTCTGATTTCAAAACTTACTACAAAGCTACAGTAATCAAAACAGCATGGCACTGGCAGAAAGACAGCTGTGCAGACCAATAGTATAGACTAGCGAACCCAAAAATAAACCTTCACGTATACAGTCAAATGATTTTTGAGAAGAGTGCCAAAACCATTCAAGGGGAAGACATTTTTCAATGAAAGCTGTTGGAGAAACTGGATATCCACATGAGAAAGAATGAAGCTGGACATCATATACAAAAATTAACTCAAAATGGACCAAGGACCTAAATATAAGAGCTAATACTATAAAAATCTTAAGATAAAACATACAGGAAGAGCTTTGTGAGATTCAATTTAGCAATGATTTATTAGATATGACTTCAAAAGCACAGACAACAAAAATAAAAAATAGATTCATTGAACTATATCAAACTTAAAAACTTCTGTTCTTCAAAGGACACAACCAACAGAATGAAAAGGCAACCTACACAATAGGCAAGATTATTTACAAATCATAGAGTTGATAACAGGTTAAGACCCAGAATATATAAAGAACTCCTATGATACAACAGCAAAAAACCAAACAACCCTATTTTTAAATGGGCAAAGGACTTGAATAGACACTTCTTCAAAGAAGACATACAAATAACCAGCAAACACATGAAAAGATGCTCAACATTATTCATCATCATGAAAATGCAGATCAAAACAATGATACATCACCTCATACCCATTAGAATAGCTACTATAAAAAAATAAAGTAGCAAATGTTGGTGAAGATATGGAGAAATTGGAACTCATGTGCACTGCTGGTGAGAATGTGAAATATTACAGCTACTATGAAAAAAAACAGTATGCCAGATCCTGAAAAAATTAAAAATAGAATTACTATATAATCCCACAATTTCACTTCCAGTTATATATCTGAAAGAATTGAAAGCAGAAACTTGAAGAGATAGATACTTGCACACTCATGTTCATGGCAGCATTATTCACAACAGATAAGAGGTGACAATAACTCAAGTGTCCTTTCATGAATGAATGCATAAACAAAATGTGAAAGTTCTGCTCTATGCCACAACATTGATGAATTTTGAGGACATTATGCTAAGTGAAATAAGCCAATCACAAAAAGACAAACGCTGTATGATTCCGCTTACATGCGGTATCTAGAATTGTCAAATTCAAAAAAAAAATTTTTGTAAATAGAATTGTCAAATTCATAGAAACAGAAAGTAGAATGGTGGTTGCCGGGTGATGGGGTAAGGGAAAAAAAGGGAGCTGTTGGGTGTTTGTTTGTTTTTCAGGAGGTTCCACAACCCTGAGATCAAGAGTTGGACGTTTAACCAACTGAGCCACCCAGGCAGCCCAAGGAAGTTGTTTTAATGATATAGAGTTTCAGTTTCTCAAGATGAAAAGAGTGTTGGAGACCGAGTGCCCAACAAGGTGAATGTACTTAACACTACTGCACTGTACATTGAGAATGGCTAAGATGGTAAATTCTACGTTATGCAATTTTTCCTAAAATTAAAATTTTTTTAAATTTATAAATGATTAAGATATTACATTTTATGTTACATGCATTTTATCAAATTAAATTGAAAAAAAAAACCCTGACAACAGCAAATGCTGGTGAAGACTGTGGAGCAACAAGAACTCTCATTCACTGCTTGTGGAATGCAAAATTACACGCCCACTTTGGATGACTGTTTGGTAGCTTCTCACAAAACTGAACATACTCTTACCATGTATATGATCCAGGAATCAAGCTCTTTGGTATTTTACCCAAATGAGTTGAAAACCTATGTCCACACATAGCAGCTTTATGTATAATTATCAAAATGTGGAAGAAACTAAGATGTCCTTCAGTAGGTGAATGGGTAAACTGTGGTGAATCCAGACAATGGGATATTATTTTGCTCTATGAAGAATGTGCTATCAAGCTATCAAGGAGAAAACCTTAAATACATATCAATGTGAAGGAAGCCAATCTGAAAAGACTACATATTGTATGATTTTACCCATATGAGGTTCCAGAAAAGGCAAAACTATGGAGACAGTAACATCGGTGGTTGCCAAGGATTAGGGAAAAGAGAGAGGGATGAATAGGTAGAGGACAGAGGATTTTTAGGGCACAGAAACTACTCTGTACGATACTATAATGGTGAACACATGTCCTTATACATTTGTCAAAACCCAGAGAATGTATACCAAGAGTGAACCCTAATATGAACTCTGGACTTTGAGTAGTAATGTTGTATCAATGCAGGTTCATCGATTATAACAAGTGAATCACTCTGTTATAGGATGTTCATGGGGGAGGAGATTATGCTTGGGTGGGGAGCAGAGAGTATATAGGAACCCAGCACTTTCTGCTCAATTTTGCAGTAAATTGCTGTAAAAAAAAAAAGTCTACTTAAAAATTCATATAACATACAATTAACCATTATCCATTCTAAAGTGTACAATTCAGTGGAATTTAGTAGTTACAGCATCATGCATTCATCGCCTCTATCTGGAGCTAAGATATTCTCACCAGCAGCAAAAGGGAACCGCTAAGCAGTTACTCCCCATCCCCCCTCCCCTAGCCCCTGCAGCTACCGATCTAATTTCTGTCTGTATGGAGTTGCCAGATCTGGACATTTTGTATACATGGAACCATACGACACATGGCCTTTTGTAACTGGCTTTCTTCACTTACCATGTTTTCAAGACTCATCCATGTTGTAGCATGTACCAGTATTTCATTTCTTTTTAAAACTGAACAATGTTCCATTGTGTGTATAGACCACATTTCCTTACCCATGCATCAGATGATGGACATTTGGGCTGTTTCTGCCTCTTGCTACTGAGAGTAGTGAATATGTATGTACAAGTCTTTGTTTGAATACCTGTAATGGATTCTTTTCTTAATGCTACATGCCTCCTAATCCTTAAATGAGGAGAAGCTAAAAAATAGAATAGGAATAAGATTAACATTTAAATGTCAAATTAATGGTATTTTAAAATGAATAATAGTAAGACTTAAAATAATGACATTTAAGAATCACCAGTATTTATTTTGATTTTTTTTTCAGATTTTATTTATTTATTTATTTATTTATTTATTATTTATTTATTTATTTATTTATTTGAGAGAGAGACAGCCCGCCCACATGGACAAGGGGAGGGGTAGAGAGAGAAGCAGACTCTCCTCTGAGCAGGGAACTCTAGACGGGGCTTGATCCCAGGCCCCTGGGTTCATGACCTGAGGTGAAGGAAATGCTTAACTAACTGGTCCACCCAGGTGCCCCGAGAATCATAGTACTGAACATACTTTATCTCATTTATCGCTATAGTCCCAAAGTAGACATTATCATCTCCATTATGTAGATCAAGAAACTGAGGCTCAGCAGGTTAGAGAACTTGTTCATGGTTACACAGCCAGTGAGTGTAAGCCAACATTGGACCCCTGGTTCTTCTGACCCCTTGCTGCCTTTCTGGCTACCTCACTCATCAAACTGGCAGAGGAGGCGAGAGAATGGATAAGAGGTACACTGCCTTGACTAGTCATTCTCACCAAACTCTTACCTTGGTGAAGTCATCATGCACAAGTTGGTGGTTTGAAAACACAGACTTGTATCCAGAAGCCCAGAGAAACAGTGAGTGGTGATGATCTGACTTCTTGAGTGTGTGTCAACAGCTCACTGGGATCACTCCAGACCCTCCCCACCCCCACCCTTGATTATCTGAATGAATACAGCTAGTCCAGCACCTTACATCCTCAACTGGCCCAGTCCGCCTTACCCCAGTGGGACTGGACACAATCCACATCCATGAGTGGACTAAAGTGGGCCACGTACCTGGGGCTGGTTGCTCCATGCCCAGGTCTCCTGGTTTCTCTTTGGAGAGTTCCTGGAGGCACTGGTCCCGTTCTTCCCGCAGCACCTGCAGCACATCACACAGTCTGGGGAGGGCGCCCACCTGCAAGTCCAAAACCCAGAATGCTCATGTTGGCCACTAACTCCAGTGTATCACAAAAAGACTTTCTGTGAGCAAGAGTGGGACTAGATAGTGGGGATTCAAAATAAGGAGGGGAAAATCCACGCCACCAAGGAGCTCCTCACAGTGAGATGGAGGCAGCCACTCCTGGGAGAGAATTCAGGACACAGCTGGGACAGCCAGGACACTCAATCTGTAGCTTGTCCACTGCAAATCATGCTCTTAAGTTTACCAAGACTCCCGAGCCCAGTGAGTTACTTGCTTTCTGGACATCTCACCATTATTAGTCAGTAGGACTTCATTTATTCCAACAGTGTTTATTTCCCAGGTTTGGCAAGCTTAGTTTTGGTTCAAAGGTCTTTGAAACCTATACTTAACTATCTCCCAGTTCCCCAGAAGAGAGCACATGTTCACCCCATGCAAAGAGCAACTGAGGAAAGAGCTAGACAGGAAGAATTAGCATATAGTCCTGACTTCCTAGCTCTTCCTAGAGTAGATTTCCAGAGCACGGCTCCCTTCTTTTATTTGTGCCTGACACTTGATAAATATGTGAGTAAATGAGTGAACGAATGAGTAAATGAATGAACAATTGAAAAGATAAATGAATTGGACTTCTTCTTTACCTTTTACAGAGTAACGAATTTTAATATTCGAGTCTTTTCACATATAATACCTTATTTAATCCCAAAATAACCCTGTAAAGAGACACAGAAAAGGAAACTGATGCCCATAGTGGTTTGGGCATGAGACCAAGTCTGACACCCAGGATTCCTGATTTCAGAGACCAGCCTTCCAAGAGGTCAAGGGCTAGGTTTCATACCCTCTTGTCAATCCTGCACTACTGTGTTGTAGATGAAAATGTTAACATAATGGAGAGGGGGAGAAGTCCCTGGGGACAAAGCCATGCTCCAAAATGGCCCAAATAAACAAAAGCTCTGGACCAGAGAAGGGCAGCTAAGGTAGTACAGTATTCAAATGACTGCAAACCAAACATAAATTATCTGGTTATCTCTTATTTTGGATCTTCCACATCTTATGACCCTTCGCTATTGCAGTCAGAAAGTATCTATCCACAGGGGGCCTGGGTGGCTCAGTCAGTTAAACATCCAACTCTTAATTTCAGCTCAGGTCATGATTTCAGGGTTGTGAGATCAAGCCATTTGTAGGGTTCCATGTGGTAAGCATGGAGTTTGCATGAGATTCTCTCTCTCTCCCTCTGCCCCTACCCCCACCCCCAATCTCTCTCTCTCTCTCTCTCTCTCTCAAAATAAAAAGCAATATATTAGCTGTCAGCAACTGCTCTTCTCCAACTACTCCCCAATACCAAGCAACTGGGCCCATGATCCCCATGAAACACACACATCACATCCCCTGGCCCAGAGCCTGTGATCAACCACAACAGAGCTGCTGCAGGAATGCCTGTGCCTGTCCAGCATTAAAATCATGCTATGGTTGGGCAGCCCCAGTGGCCCAGCGGTTTAGTCTCACCTTCAGCCCAGGGCATGATCCTGAAATCCCAGGATCGAGTCCCATGTCGGGCTCCCTGCATGGAGCCTGCTTCTCCCTCTGCCTGTGTCTCTGCCTGTGTCTCTGCCTCTCTCTCTCTCTCTCTCTCATCTCTATCTCTGTGTGTGTGTGTCTCATAAATAAATAAATAAAATCTTTTTTAAAAAATTACACTATGGTCATTCTTTCCCCATTCATCTCCCCTGAATTTCCATCTCATACCTGACAATATAGCAAAACGACTTCATCACATTGCTTGTGATGACTCTTATATTTAGATTCTCATATGAAACAAGCTTCCCTAAGAATGTAGTCATTGTTGGGAGAACAGGCATGCAGCCTCACATACTTATGCCTTTATCCTCTCTTGGGGTTCCCTCCCAGTCCTTGCTGAAGCCCATCAACACCAGCACCCTCTAGCTTTTCAGCAGAGCCAGTAGAAGAGCTTGAGTGGAAAAATCTGCCTGCAGGTTGGCAAGCTGCCTCTAGTTCACCAAAGATCTCAAGTAGACACACATTCTGTTCAGTGCTGCCTTGAGACTAACATCACTCTTAAAACGTGAGAAACTGCTGGAGGTAGTGCAAACAGGTACAATCTTTTAAGTGATGTCATCATGCATTAAATGTCACAAAAATGTTCATACCTTTTGGCCAGCTGACTTTACGTCTAGTAATTTATGTGGAAAAAGCTTTATATGGAAGGATTCTGTTACAGCTTTACGTCTTATAGCAACAAAGAGATGGACTTCAGGAAGATACAATACACAAAGCTTTTCCCTATTACTCCTGTTAAGTACAACAAGAAACTCTGGACATTATTTACAAAACAAGGTTAGGAAGATTCTGGAAGGTGGAAAGAAGGCAAAGTAGCTGAAGACCTCATGACCCAAGGAAGCCGTAATGTCTCTGAAGTTTCTTTTCACTTCCTAGATCCCATTACCAGAGCTGAAGAAGTCAGCAGTAAGGAAATGTAGCCATATGCAGACAAAAATAGCCCCAATAAAAGCCTGCTCTCTCTAGCCAAGGACCAGGAAAGAGGAAGTCTAGCAAGGCAGAAAATGTATAGACAACAACTTCCCTACTCCAGCCAAATACCACAGAAAAAACTGGTCAGCTGGGGAACTAGGACTTCTGTCTTCCCCAGGCTGTGACATATGGCCTCAGCCTCCCTGCCAGGGTGGTGACAGAGATGGCCAAGTAGGGAGCTGGTGCTTTCTCCCTGCTATGTGCTAACAGAGGTCCCCCCAGCCTATGATGTCTTTGGAGACAGGACTTCCATTCCAATCCAGAAGTAATGAGGTGCTCCTCCATCTCCCCACTGGGGTGGTGTCATAGGTACTTAAGAAAAAGAGTTAATCTAGAATCCTATACTCAGGAGAAGATATCTCTGGAAATGAAAGGGAAATCAGGACACTCTCAGATAAGAAAGACTGAAGGAACCCGTTGCCAGCCTCCTACCCTAAAAGAATGGCTAAAAAAAGGTTCTCTAAACATGGAGGGGGCCTAATGGACACTCACAACTTTCACCAGCACCAGTGATGATGAGATCTCACTCACTGCTAAGACCAGATAGGGAGCTGATACTCCCACCTTCCACTCATCAGTAAGGGGAGAAACTCTCTCCTTTGCTATTGTCAAAAAAGGCAGAGTGGGGAAGCTGGACTTCTACTTGGACCTGGCAGAAATGAGGCAGCACCCATCCCCTTCTCCCATCAGGAAAAGCCAACTAAGAGAGATTTAAGTAAGATGCAGTCTTACAGCAATACAAAAAGTCTCACTTTGAATAAAAGATCACTCATCATGTTAAGAACCAGGAAGATATCAAACTGAATGAGACAAGATGATTAATTGATGCCTTCACTGAGGTGGAGAGATCTAGACCTATTTGACAAAGACCTTTATTTAAAGCAGCCATCATAAAAATGCTTCAATGAGCAATTATAAGTACACTCAAAACAAATGTAGGGATATAAACCTCGGCAATAAGAGAAAGTCTCAGCAAAGAAATAGAAGATACAAAGAAATCAAATGTAAATGCTAGAACTGAAAAAGATAATAACTGAAGGAAAAAGCTCAGTGGAAGGGTTCAACAGGAGAATTGTGGTGGCATGGAGAGGGACAGAAGAAAGAGTCACTGGGCCAGAAGACAGGACAGTAGAAATCACTCTATCTGTACAACACAGAGAAAAAATAAACTGAAAATAAAATTGAACAGACTTTGGGGCATGTGGCTGGCTCAGCTGGTAGAGCATGTGACTCTTGCTTTCAGGGTTGTGAATTCAAGCCCCTCGTTGGAGCTTAAAATATTTTTTTCATTAAAAAAATTAAAAGTAGGGAGGTCTGGGTGGCTCAGAGGTTGAGTGCCTGCCTTTAGCCCAGGGCATGATCCTGGAGTCCCAAGGATCCAAAAGTGAGCAGACTTTCAGGGTTACATGTGACAATAGAAGCACAATCCATAAAAGGAAAACTAGGCAAACTGGACTTCATAAAAAATTTTTAAAGTTTTGCTTTATGAAAAATCATATTAAGTGGATGAAAAGACAAGTTGCAGAAAGAAAGAGAAAATATTTGCAGTCACATATTCAAGAAACGTCTGGTATCTAGAATTTATAAAGAACATTCAAAACTCACCAGTAAACAAACAAAAAATTTAGTTAGAACCATAGGTAAAATACATGAAAAGACATTTCACAGAAGATATGCAGATGGCAAATAAGCATGTGAAATGGTTCTCAAAATCATTAGCTATTAAGTGAATGCAAATTGAAACCCCAATGTGTTTTCACTATACTCCCATCATAATAGTTAAAATTAAAAAGAATAGTAACAACAGGTGTTGGCGAGGTTGTGTAGAAACTAGAATACTGGGATCCCTGGGTGGCGCAGCGGTTTGGCGCCTGCCTTTGGCCCAGGGCGCGATCCTGGAGACCCGGGATCGAATCCCACGTCGGGCTCCCGGTGCATGGAGCCTGTTTCTCCCTCTGCCTATGTCTCTGCCTCTCTCTCTCTCTGTGTGTGACTATCATAAATAAATAAAAATTAAAAACATTTTTTTAAAAAAAGAAACTAGAATACTCATACATTGCAGCTGGGAATGTAATTTGATATAGCCACTCTGGAAAACAGATTGGCAGTGTTTTTACAAAAGCTAAATACACAACTATTATATGATCCAGCAATTGCACTCCTAGGCCTTTATCCCACAGAAGTGAAAACTTCTATTTATGCAAAAACCTGTATGTGAATATTTATAGCAGCTTTATTCATAACAGCCCTAGACGCAAACAATCCAGGTGTCTTCCAATGGGTGGATGATTAAATAGACTATGATGCATCCATACTACGAAACTCCATTCAGCAATAAAAAGGAACAAACTATTGATACATATGCCGACCTAGATGAATCTCCAGAGAAGTATGCTGAATGAAAAAAAGTCAATCCCAAAAGGTTACATATTATATGATTCTATCCATAT